GGAGTATTATTTCCACCCTTATCCTACTACATTTTCATTTCTTCCATTTGAAAACGTGACCCCTTCCTCTCCAGCTACGCTCCCACTTTCTAGAAGTTTGACTTTACTGCGGAACTCCTGGAGAGGTTGCTCTGCTATTTCAACACACACACACACACACACACACACACACACCCTCACGGTTCAGACATCCGACACCATCTTACTGACCATAATATCAGCCCAAATCTATAAGCCAGCCTGGATGATCTCTCAACACATGGTGGCCTTCCATGAAAACGACAAATGAATCTTCCTTACTTTCACTGATGACAATTGGCCTCTGTTGGGCTCCAGGCAGTTGTTTCCCATCGTTTCCTCTTCCTACACTCAGCCAGACAAGGTCACACAGACTGCCTCGGCCCACCAGGGCTCTCTATTACAGACACATTCATTTTAAATCACTGAATAGCCTCCCACAACTGGTGATGGAAACCACCATGGTGAATCAAACTGCTAGGTTGCTGGTTTAGGGACAGGGGAGTGTCCCTCTCATGCCTACAAAGGCCCCCAGACAGGAGGTTGGAAAGCAATCAGGCAACCATTAGACACCTATGAAAACCCCAAACTGAGCATGCTCATACTCAAGCTTCCGAGCCAAGTGGGAAGTACACCTGGGTGCCCAAACTAGGCCCAGGTGGGCTCAACCCAGCCAATGGTGTCAACCAATACCTTCCACCGGGCCTTCCCCCAGCCAGGGGGTGGGCTAGAATAAAGGAACAGAGCATGCTCTGGGATGCTCTCTTGCCAGCCCCCTACCACCCCCATGCTCTTGCCCCCTTGCTCTCTGTCTTCCTCGCTCTCTCTTACCCTGCTTCTGGTCAGAGGCAGGGGAAGGGGGAGGGTCTTGGAGGGTCCCCCCTATGCAGGTGCACATGCACCCGCTCCGGGCCTACTCAGGGCCCACAAGCTGTTGGCCCGCAGGCTCTCAGCATCTAGGGTTCTTGGGCTTCTGGCTTCCCGGGATTCCCCCCCACATTCCACACATGTGGGTGCTGTTTTCCACATGGTTGCTTGTGCCCAGTTGTGCATCCCTTTGAGACTGTAAAACCTGAAACTTCTCCTGTCCTTCCTAAAAACCCACTTGGATGACAAAACAGGCTTCGGCATGAATTCTTTCATCGCGTGAAGCAAAGAACCGAGTTATGACCCACTCCAGAAACAGAACCAGCTCAGTGGCGCCAACTCTTCACGTCCGGCCCAGAGCATGTTCCATCCCTGCCCTACCTTAGAGCCACCTCTGGTCCCACCGATCATTGTGTAGATGTTATAAGATGATGGATGGCTGACAAGACCCTATTCGGTAAATCAGTGTGCTGCGTAGGGTCTCAAACTTGGCTCATCAGACAGATGATACCCTTCTCAGGTAATACCTCACCCTGGAGTGAGGCAAGAGGCACCCCTGTGTCCCACCGTGCTCCTCAAGGGCACACGTTGAGACACAAACTTAAGGGCTCACCACAAACACGCCAGGAGCCCTGGTAGCATGGTGGGTTATGCCTCAAGATCAGCAGTTCAACTCCTTCGGTCCCGCTGGGGGAGAAAGATGAGGCTGTCGGGCTCCGTGAGGAGTCACAGCCTTGCAAACCCACAGGGACAGTTCTCAATCCTAGAGGGAGGCTAGAGGTCAGAATTGGCTTGATGGCAGTGAGTTGAATTCAACACAAGCTGCAAATCGAGAAGCTCACCTTCTCTGCACTGCTTCCTCAATGTCTTGTCTGGGAGGTCAGAAAGGCCAGTCCCTTCCGCTCACCAAGCCCCTCAGTTTCCTCATCTGAAGCCTTGGCTCAATCTCTCCTACATGGTATGCCTGATGCTCTGTTAAGGTTAGGGATGTGAGCATTGCAGGGGGGGTGGGGGTGGGGTGGGGGGGGGCGTGGAGAACAGGCCCCTCTACCTCCCTCTCCCAATGTCTTTCATATTTTTATTCCCTGGGGGGCAGTAAGGGAGAAAGACGGGGCTTTCTACCCCCAAGAGGAGTTACAGGAGCCCTGGTGGTGTAGGGGTTACACACTGGGTTACACACTAACCACAAGGTCAGCAGTTCAAAATCACCAGTTGCCTCACAGGAAAAAGAAGCAGCTCTCTAACTCCTGGCATGAGTTTGTCTCCGAAACTCACAGGGTCAGCTCTATCCTGCCTGATAGGGTCGCTACCCATTTCTTCTCTGTCGGGGGAAAGGTCACCACGAACCATGTCATTGTAAACAACCCTGCCCCAGGCGAGCTTGGGGAAAGTCCCCTCTTTGGGGTCCCGGAGTTCCAGCACTGTCTTGACACAGCCCTGATCTAGCTCTCCTACCAGACTGGGGTGGGGGTGGGGGTGGGGATGACGCTTGAGAGTCTTTTGAACAAGGGATGACGCTTGCCTGCATGGGTGCTTGAACTGGTGACCTCCAGGCTCCTTCGGGCCGAGCTCGGTATCTCCTCTGGGTTTTCCTTGTGTC